CTTGATGTACAGCCTCTGCTTCTGCAGATTGAGTCACAACTCCGATGGTTTGGGAATGCGTTTCGAACGTTTCCAGAAAGTGAAAGAAAGCAACTAATTCTTATCCAAGAGATCGGCAGAAGGCCCAGGGGACGGCCAAGGTTAACCTGGTGCAAACATATGGAAGGAGTTTGTTCCAGACTCCCTTTGTCCTTTGCCAAAGCTGAAACTCTGGCACAGGATCGGGAACGTTGGAAGCTCTGTCTGATGCGTTTGCCTGCGCGACCCGAAATGAGTAAGGGATAGTGAAATTGAATTGAATATGTTTATGCTAACTCTTGAAGTCAACATAAAACTAACCATGTTGTTGTGAACTTAACAGGATGAGAGCTCGGACTTCCACCTTTAAATTAGGGAAATGATGTTGGCACCTCGCTTTATTATTTATTGTTCGTCGTTGATTAACTGATAACTGCAGTATTATGGCATACGTAGTTTAGCCCCCTCGACATGATGTCAACGGATATCGCTAACGCGTATGTGCTTTCAGTCTTTCGAAGACGACAGGTCAAGTAAAACGGAAGATGCCAGTCTGATCACGTCGAGTTCATTCGCAGAAACTGAGCGATCGTCGGTCGCCAATCGTCCATCATCGTCTGAACGATCGGCTTCCAGTTGCCAAAAGTCAGGTATGAATAGAACGATTTCGCGACAAAGCCGGTCAAAATTTGACTCCAGCAGGAGAAGACCGCCCAACTCCTTCAGTAAGTCGCTGAACAGAATTTAAAGTATTTAAAAATAGTATTGTTTCAAAAGTCATCAGGGAAGATGGTTGCAGGGTGGAGTGTTTTGTTGGTGATTCAAATGCTTCACGTTTAAACATGAAATAGTATTATATTTATGATATGCATTGACTATAGTGACTAGCGAAACGTTGCTGCAACATTGTGACCAACTCAAACAAGTTACGCCGGTAAAATCCATGACAAAATCGAGATCGAGTGCGTATGGAAGACCGCACAATACAAGCGTTTCTGGCTCAAACGTTTCCTCAGGCATTTTCGGAAGTAGTACTGAAGCCGTGACGTCATCTTCCGGTCAGCGGAGTGAGAGCCAGAAGCCTGAAGCGTGCTCAGCCAAACAGACATCGCCGGTGTTATGCTGTCGTTGGCAGAACCAAAGACGTGGAAGGAGGCCGTTGAATTTCGTTACGATGGATAATCTAAGCCAGTGGTATCCAGCAGATAAGTGGCATACTGTTGGTGCATGCGGTTGCACCAGGCAAAGCTTATCCTTGATTCAGAGAGCAGAAAAGCCCAGTTGGGAAGAAAGTACATCTCAACGAGCATCTGCACGATCCAAAGTCAAGCAGTGGATCAGAAAAATATACACTCGCACTCGAAGTAAAACGGGCACAAGCCACAGCGTTTAAACGATCTCTAGAATTCACGACTTTGATTTATACCTTACTAACAATTCACCACTTGCATATACCTTCTATTGCTTCCAAAGTCATACGCTGATACTTGCTTAAATAAAAGTTTATTTTTACTGCTTGCCCTGTTATCGCTATGTCAAATAGTATATGCTATTGTCAGTTTAGCGGATGGACGACATCAATCTAAATTATGGCGGCAGAACGTTGCCTGATTTTTTGTCCTCACCATACGGATGGTGCGATGTCTCATTTTTTTCCTCTAAATTTCCTGATACAGTCAACTAAACGTGAACATGTGAATTTTACTGATCTTTCATTCATTCATTCAGTCTAAGATTTGTCATCGTCTATTCGCAGGGAAGACAACATGGTGCTATGATCTGATCGAGCATTAGGGAGGGAAATATACGAGCGACGGTCTCCCTCTTCTCTTCTCTTCCTATTTCTGGTGGAAGTATCATAATTTTAAGCAGACTTGTTGAAATCTTTGAATTATTTTTCATTCTCTGTTTGTCACTGTCTGCTAAGTCGACAGCCTCACGATTCATGACAGTTAGATCTTCATATTTAGCAAAATATCATTCAAATGTAAACTTTTACTATAGTCCTTGCTCGCCCTTCGTGGTGATGACGCAGAAGCAATACCGGTTAAGAGTATTTGTGACCTTATATATGCTTGTTACGCGTATATACTATTTAGATGGTAAACAATGGAGGCGAAGGCTTTTTTGGAGTTACTGAGAGAACGGCTTTAATGCTTTCAAACTATCTTTCATCCATAAGGACATAATTAAATGCACACCGAGATTTACCTTACTTGTGCTGACTACCCTTTCACTGACTGACTATCTATCATTTCATGACAGGCGATCATGACTGACGTAAGAACTCTCTGATAGTACACTTCATTATACTGTATCTTCCTCTGCATAAATAATACCAAGGTGAATATGAGCAGGGCAACGACTGGAGTTGTTGGTAATATATGGATGAAAGAAAGAGGCGACTACTCTTGCTAATTACTACGGTAGCCTGGAGATCTTTCAGGAACCCAGGAGAGTACATTAATCAAGCAGTGGTAATGAGGCATGTCAAGACGCTTCAGAGGTTCCAACTGTTTTCGCAACAA